GCGAATTGTTTAAGAAAAAAATACACTTTTAATGACCATTTGACACCCCCCCCAGAATTATTACTGCGTGTAGTCCTCGGCTTACGACCACAACGAAGCCCAAATTTTCTGTTGCTAAGTGAGACAGCTTTAAGACCTTTCCTGCCAAGGTTGTTAAGCAAATCACCACAATTGTTAAATGAGTAACATTGTTGTTAAGTGAATCTGGCTCCCCCCCCCTTGACTTTGCTTGTCAGGAAGTCACAAAAGAGGATTGTGCAACCCCCACGGGACACACCCACCGTCGTAAATACGAGTCAGCTGCCAAACGTCTGAATTTTGATCACATGACTGGGGGGATGCTGCAATGGTCATAAGTGTGAAAAATGGTCATAAGTCACTTTTTCGGCGCTATCGTAACTTTGAACGGTCACTACAGGGATGATTATGAGTCCTTGACTTATGATGGATTGCTTTAGGAGCGTTTGAAATGACAACGGACCTCGCTGTAGCTGCTTAATACCTGTGTTCAGAGTTAAGATGTTCACACAAAATTAGAATTATGTTTTGTGCATCTGGCAACCAGCTCACCTTTACAACTGTGAGAGGGACCTCGGAGTCCTAGTGGACAATCACGTAAATAGGAACCAGCCGTGTGCTGCAGCTGCCAAAAAAGCCAACACAGTGCTGGGCTGCATTAACAGAGGGATAGAATCAGGATCACGTGAAGTGTTAATACCACTTTACAAGGCCTTGGTAAGGCCATACTTGGGATCCTGCATCCAGTTTTGGTCACCACGATGTAAAAAAGATGTTGAGATTCTAGAAAGAGTGCAGAGAAGAGCAACAAAGATGATTAGGGGACTGGAGGCTAAAACATATAAGGAACGGCTGCTGGAATTGGGTAGGTCTAGTTTAATGAAGGACTAGGGGGGACATGATAGCAGTCTTCCAGTATCTCAAGGGCTGCCCCAAAGAAGAGGCAGTCAAGCTATTTTCGAAAGCGCCTGAAGGCAGAACGAGAAGCAACTGATGGAAACTGATCAAGGAGAGAAGCAACCTAGAACTAAGGAGAAACTTCCTGACAGTGAGAACAATTAACCAGTGGAACCACCTGCCTCCAGAAGCTGTGAATGCTCCAACACTGGAGGTTTTTAAGAAGAGACTGGACAGCCATTTGTCTGAAATGGTATAGGGTTTCCTGCCTGCGCAGGGGGTTGGACTAGATGACTTCCAAGGTCCCTTCCAACTGTATTATTATTATCATCATTATTATTATTATTTATAATCCTTTGCTGTGTCCCGTGATCATGTGGCTGTGATTTGTGGTTGTTTTTTTGGGGTTTTTTTTTGCTGGTTTCCGGTGTTCATTTCTGGTTTCCAGTAAAAAATATCCATTGGGGAAATTAGATTCAATTAACGGCGGCATTCGCTTAACGGCCATCATAAAAAATGGTCATCACATCGATTTCCGTCATGTGATGCCTCGACTTAATGACTGTGGCTTAAAATCTTAATTTTGTGCTCAGTTCCGGTTACAAGTCAAGGACTTTTTGTCTAGTCCTTCTTTTGGATAAAAGATGACATATGCATTCATTTTATTTTACTTTTTTCCAAATTTATTTGCTGTCCATCTCCCAGTTAACACCAAGTCTGAACTTAATAATAATGATGATGATGATGATGATGATGGAAGGGACCTTGGAGGTCATCTAGTCCAACCCCCTGCTCAGGCTTGAAACCCTATATCACAGTGGTTCTCAACCTTTTTAATGTCGCGACCCCCCCAACCGGTCGTAAGTTGAGGACTACTCAACCGGTCGTAAGTCGAGGACTACTCAACTGGTGCAGCACCGTTTGCAGAATGGGACTTTTGGCGGGCTCAGCAGGGCAGAGACAGCCCTGGACAATTCCTATTGGCTTTTGAAAGCCAATAGAATTAGACTCTGTTCAAGAGAGTCTATTCTATCGGCTTTCAAAAGCCAATAGAATAAAAGGGAGTAGCACAGCTAAGGAAAAGGGGGGAAAAATGGCGGACTGCGTTGTTTGGCGACCCCCGTGAAATGGTCATTCGACCCCAAATGGGGTCCCGACCCACAGGTTGAGAACCACTGCTATATCATTTCAGACAAATGGCTGTCCAGTCTCTTCTTAAAAAAGTTCCAGTGTTGGAGCATTCACCGCTTCTGGAGCAGAATCTATTCAAGCACACAGTTTTATTCTAAATTGGATCATGGAGAAGCGTTGCTGCTTCCTAACCACAGCCCAATCGTGACTAATGTAGAATGAAATCATCTCCAATTAATTAACTTAGAATTGTCTGGCTAGTAAGGCTAATCTGTCGTCAAAAACAGCTTGGAAAGAGGCATTTAAAAGGTTCCTTAAATTTTTTTTTTTTCAAACTGGCAAGGGAGATTTCGCCCTCTCTGAAATTTCAGACGCTGAGTCAAACAGCAGTTTGAGGACCAGGAACAGCAAAAACATGTTTCTAGCCAGCTGGCAAATTCATCTTTTTTTGTTTTTTTCGAGAAAAAGGATAAGAAACACACAGCCGTCCATCCAGCAGGCTTTTTCAAACCAACTTCTGCAAAACCTGATCTGGTCCTGTGGGAGATTAAGGACCCAAGCGGGCAGAAAATGGATGCAATTGTCCATTATTATCCATTGCAGTTTTCAATAGGGCCCACAGGTCAAAAAAGTCAAGATGGCAGCCACAAGGGTTCCTGCCTTTTTATTGGTGCAAATTCGGACCCTCTGCCATTTTGACTTTTTGGCATTTTTCTCAAGAAAAAAGAACCCCATTGACTGAACACCGATTTGTTTGGCTAAGAAATTAAACTCCGGATTACTGTACAGGCAATCCTCGACTTTCGACTGTTTTGTTTAGTGGCCGTTCGAAGTTACAACGGCGCTGAAAAAAAGGGGTTACCGTTTTTCGCACTTTGCAGCATGTGCTCAAAATGCAAATGCTCGGAAGCTGACATGGGCTTATGACAGTTGTAGCCTCCCCCACCGTCACGTGATCAAAATTCAGACCCTTGGCAACTGACTCGTATTTATGATGGTTGCAACATACCGGGGGTCGTGTGATCCCTTGTTGCGACCTTTGGACAAGCAAAGTCCATTGGAAACTGGATTCACTTAATTTGAGGACTAGCGACAATTGGGGAGCTCATCATTTGAATTTTCCTACATTGGAAATATTGATTCCGCGTTTCCAATCAGTCGCGTTTTTTGTACTGAACAGCAAATGGAGGAACTTTTCCTCCATATATTTTATTGATTTTTTAAAAACATAAATCACTTAATAGTTGGTAAACGGTGTGTTTGCTGGGTTTATATTTATAAACAAAAATCATTGACAATTGGTTTCTATAATCCATAATCCACAAGTACATTTAGTTGATTTCCCCTTTTCCCCAAAATGTCTTCTTTGCAAACCTTGAAATAATTCAGTTCTTGTTATTTTGTTAAATAACAGTTACATATATGATTTTTTCCCCCAATATTCCTAGAAATAATGATCACATCAATATAATGTTTCTTTTCTATCTAATCATTTTGGTTGCCTCACCTTACATCCTGTGACAGTCCTTATTTGGATTTGTTTCCCATAAAGTTCAAAGTATTCTTGCTGGTTAAGATTTTCTTAACAGTTAACTACATTTAAAGATTTAAATCCATTTTTCCCATATAAACCATCTCAACACTTTTACATTTCTTAAATAATGGGTAAAAACAGTGAACAAAAGGAAAAGAGAGCAAGAGTGAAGAAACACAAAAAGTAAAATACTACTTAAAATATATATTCCTCCCAAGAGCTAATCTATATTTTGGGGACAAAACCGAGGTAGTCCTTTTTCTGAACGTTGAAAGGGAAATAAATTGCAAACACAAGTTCCACCCTCTTGCCAATTTTCCATGGGTAGAATATTGCCTCTTGATTAATGGTTCCGTTTAAAAAAAATAAAAAATAAAATAAAATTAAGAAGTTCCAGAGCCTAAAAATTTTAAAGCCCTCTGCCCTATAAAATGAAAGCCGTGCTTAAATGTCAGAGCATGCACAGTCTTATTGCGCTGAGGTAACCCAGGAATAAATACAGTAAACAGTGGTTTGTACTTAAATGTGGTTTATTGTAGAATATCTACAAATATACACTAGAACAGTGGTTCTCAACCTTTCTAATGCCGTGACCCCTTAATACAGTTCCTCATGTTGTGGTGACCCCCAACCATAAAATTATTTTCATTGCTATTTCATAACTGTAATTTTGCTACTGTTATGAATCATAATGTAAATATCTGATATGCAGGGTGTATTTTCATTGTTACGAATGGAACATAATTAAAGCATAGTGATTAATCACAAAAACAATATAGCAATGCTCTATTCAATAGAGTCTATTCTATTGGCTTTCAAAAGCCAATAGAATAAGAGGGAGTAGCACAGCTAAGGAAAAGGGGGGAAAAATGGCGGACTGCATTGTTTGGCGACCCCCGTGAAAGGGTCGTTCGACCCCAAATGGGGTCGCGACCCACAGGTTGAGAACCACTGCACTAGAAATAAGATACATACGCGTGGTCATTCAGCAAACTCCAATATACAGCAATTACAGCAGTCAAAAGGATGAGAGAGAGAGGAAGACTCCAACAAAAAAAACTTCCCTTTTATACTCAGACTCTTAAAGGGACACAGACCCTGCTGAATCATTCCTATCATTGCATCATCCTATCATTGCATCACCCACCTGTACATAAGCTGGTTAGCTATTAAATTATTATCCTGACATTAAAAATGGCTGCACAGGTTTTGCTTGACTTATAACTGTTCATTTAACAATGGATCCAAGTCACAATGGCCTCAGAAAAAGTGATTTATAACCTGTTCTGAAGCTGATGACCATCGTGCCACTCCCGTGATTGCAACTCAGATGCTCGCATTTGCGACCAGTTGCAAATGTCAATTGAGAAAGCTGAGTTCACTTAACAATTGTGTGACTATCTGAACGACCATGTGATTCATTTAACGACGATGCTGTTTCACCCAACGCTTGCGACAGATTCTTCTCTCCCGCAGATCCAGGCAATGAACGGATGGCGAGGAACGTCTTGAAGTACGAGAAGCTTCTGAGGAAGAACCGGAAGGAGGGCGAAGAAAGGGTCCCTTTGCAGAGACCCAACGTGACCCACCTGGAGACGCGAGAGGCCTACGAGAAGCTCTGCCAGAGGCTGGGGTCTCAGGTGGGCGAGCGGTGGAGGCCTTTTTTCTGAGGAAGAAGCATGTGACGTTTGAGGAGGACCAAGAATGATGTGGTGTAGGCACCTCTAAGGGGGGGAGGGACACCTAATTATTGCAATTTTTTTATGTGTCTTTCTGCAGGTGTATATATAATCTGCCTTTTCCAGGGAAATTCCCATGTTCCATGCAACTCTGCTTCCACTTTATCCTTACAAATACAAGCCTATAAAGGGAAGGTCTTATCCAAATCTTGCTTGCAGAGAGTTCACCTAACTAATTTCCTCTCTCTCGCCCTCTCCCTCTCTCTCTGTCTCTCTCTCTCTCCCTTCCTTCCTCCCTCTTTTCTTTTTCTTTCTCTCTCTCTCCCTTCCTTCCTTCCTTCCTTCTTTTCTCCTCCCTTCCTTCCATCTCTCTCCTTCCTTCCTCCCTCCCTCCCTCCTTTCTTTTTCTTTCTTTTTCTCTCTTCCTTCCTTCCTTCCTCCTCTCCTTCCCTTCCCACCCTCTCTCTCCTCCCTCTCTCCCTCTTTTCTTTTTCTCTCTTTCTTCTTAACTTCCTTTCGCCTCCCTCCCTTTTCTTTCTTTCTCTCCCTTCCTTCCTTTCTTTCTCCTCTCTCCTTCCCTTCCTACCATCTCTCCTCCCTCCTTCCCTCTTCTCTTTTCTTTCGCTCTCTTCCTTCCCTTCTTCCCTTCCTTCCATCCCTCCTTTCTTTCTTTCTTTCTTTCTTTCTTCCTTCCTTCCTTTCTTCCTTTCTTTCTTTCTTTCTCTCTCTCTTCCTCCCTTCCTCCCTCTTCTCTTTTCTTTTTCTTTCTCTCTCTTCCTTCCTTCCTTTCTCCTCCATTCTTCCTTCCCTTCCTTCCACCTCTCTCCTTCGTCCCTCCCTCCTTTCTTTTTCTTTTTCTTCCTTCCTTCCTCCTCTCCTTCCCTTCCCTTCCAGCTCCAATACCTTCCCCACTCTGATTTCCTTACCATTCACTTCTGCCACGTCCCAATTCATTTCTAACATGTTTTCTAGTCCTCATGAATCTCCCAGTTGACTTGCCAAGGAACATTAACCTCGAAACAGAGTCTCCAAGAAGCTGGGAAGGGACTTTTAGCAGAAGAAGGCAGAGATCAAACCTCCTTTCCTCCAAGTTGGTGGTGTAACTCTAAGACACCCTCCAATAGGGCTCGCCGACAGTCTAGCCCAGGGGTAGGCAACCTGGGCTCTTTTGTGACTCGTGGACTTCAACTCCCAGAATCCCTGAGCCAGCATGGGGGAACTATGGCCCCTTCATGACTTGTGGACTTCAACTCCCAGAATCCTTGAGCCAGCCATGCTGAGGGGAAAGGGAGAGGTTTCCATGAGGAGCCAGGCTGGCTGAGGAATTCTGGGAGTTGAAGTCCACGAGTCTTGAAGGGGCCAAAGTTTTCCCCATGCTGGCTGAGGAATTCTGGGAGTTGAAGTCCACGAGTCATGAAGGGGCCATAGTTCCCCCATGCTGGCTGAGGAATTCTGGGAGTTGAAGTCCACAAGTCATAAAAAAGCCAAGTTTGAAAACCATTGGATTAGATCAGGGGTAGGCAACCTTGGCTCTTTTATGACTTGTGGACTTCAACTCCCAGAAATCCTAAGCCAGCCATGCTGAGGAGAAATGGAGAGGTTTCCATGAGGAGCCAGGCCGGCTCAGGAATTCTGGGAGTTGAAGTCCACGAGTCATGAAGGGGCCATAGTTCCCCCATACTGACTCAGGAATTCTGGGAGTTGAAGTCCACGAGTCATGAAGGGGCCAAAGTTCCCCCATGCTAGCTCAGGAATTCTGGGAGTTGAAGTCCACAAGTCATGAAGGGGCCATAGCTCCTCCATGCTGGCTCAGGAATTCTGGGAGTTGAAGTCCACGAGTCATGAAGGGGCCAAAGTTCCCCCATGCTGGCTCAGGAATTCTGGGAGTTGAAGTCCACAAGTCATGAAGGGGCCGTATTTCCCCCATGCTGGCTGAGGAATTCTGGGAGTTGAAGTCCACGAGTCATAAAAGAGCCAAGGTTGCCTACCTCTGCCCAAGGCCATCATAAGTTTGAATTGTTATGAATGGTTGTAAGTCAAAGTCTACTTATAGTGTAAAGCGTGAGGAATTTATTGTTTTTTAAAAAAAAACATGTATTTTTATGGGAGACATTTTTAATAAACCCTACTGGAAACTAACCATAAAAGAAATGAAAAATAATAAGGAAAAATAGTAAATACAGTAGTAAAAAAAGAAATTAGGAAAAAAAATGAATTATACAAGAAGCAATGGATGGAAACTGATCAAGGAGAGAAGCAACCTGGAATTAAGGAGCAAGTTCCTAACAGTGAGGACAATTAACCAGTGGAACAACTTGCCACCAGAAATTGTGGACACTCCACCCCTGGAGGTTTTCAAGAAGAGACTAGAGACAGTCACTTGTCTGAAATGGTATAGGGCCGTGGTGGCGAACCTATGGCACGCATGCCAGAGGCAGCACTCAGAGTCCTCTTTGTGGGCACATGCGCCGTCGCCCCAGTCCTAGGCCTTCAGCTGGGTTTTATAAAACCTTTTCGCTTTAGGCCTCTGCCACCGTGTGCAAAAAAAAAGGTTCAATCAATTTCAACAAGATCCCGCAAAGTTGGAATTGATTGATTGAACTTTTTAGTCCCACCCAGTCTGCTGTTACCACCGCAGCCACGCCCACCCGGCACCCAACGATACATAAGTGGGTTTTGGGTTGCATTTTGGGCACTCGGTCTCTAAAAGGTTCACCATCGCTGATATAGGGTTTCCGCCTGAGCAGGGGGTTCGACTAGATGACCTCCAAGGTCCCTTCCAACTTTATTATGATTATTATATTGAAGCAGGTTCTGATATTCTTGACAGTGATTACAGATACATTTTGCCCTCATAATTTACTTCTTTCCATAACCTACGTTTTCTCAATCTTCTAATACATTTAGTGTAAGTTGATTTTTTTTCCTTCTTTTTTTCAGCAAAATGTCCAGAAGGGATTTGCAGTCACTGACAAATGTGGTTGTTGATCTTCCTCTGAATCAATTTTGCCACCTCTGCTTGTTCTGTCATCTTCATCAGCCATTCCTGGAAATTTCAGAGTTGTTCCGTTTTTGCACATATTAATAACCTCAGATAAATAATCATATTAAAATGACTAATTAATATGTTCCTTGACTTTTTTTCTCACCCACCAGCCCCAGCAAGAAAACAATCGGATTTCCATTGAATGTTGATCTTTAAAACTCTTTGTATTTATAAAGTAATAAAGATGAAAAAAAAATTAATGAATAAATATCTTTCAACCTAGAAATTTCTGGCTTTTCTTTTTTACACATCCACCAAGCATAATAAAATGATTGTTAATATTGTCCATATTTCCAACATAATTTTGAAGTGCCTTTATTATACGTTCTGGACAATTTTTTTGGAGTCACAGACCAGCGGTATATCATTTTTTAAAACATCCCCTTTTAGGTTATAACATCAAGTAAAATGGGAACTGCTTTTTTTTAAATCTACATAAAATAAAACACACATTCTATTCCCTGGAACAGAGACCGAACCCCATCTATTAAAGCACCACCCTAGAAAGGAGGAGATGGGGAGTTCTAGTCCCGCCTTAGCCGTGAAAGCCACCTGGGTGATTTGGGATCAATCACTAGGTGCTGGAGAGTTATAGTCCCACCTTAGCCGTGAAAGCCACCTGGGTGATTTGGGGTCAATCACTAGGCGCTGGAGAGTTCTAGTCCCGCCTTAGCCGTGAAAGCCACTTGGGTGATTTGGGATCAATCACTAGGCGCTGGAGAGTTCTAGTCCCGCCTTAGCCGTGAAAGCCACCTGGGTGATTTGGGATCAATCACTAGGGGCTGCAGAGTTCTACTCCCACCTTAGCCGTGAAAGCCACCTGGGTGATTTGGGATCAGTCGCTAGGCGCTGGAGAGTTCTAGTCCCACCTTAGCCGTGAAAGCCACCTGGGTGATTTGGGATCAATCACTAGGCGCTGGAGAGTTCTAGTCCTGCCTTAGCCGTGAAAGCCACCTGGGTGATTTGGGATCAGTCGCTAGGCGCTGGAGAGTTCTAGTCCCACCTTAGCCGTGAAAGCCACCTGGGTGATTTGGGGTCAATCACTAGGCGCTGGAGAGTTCTAGTCCCACTTAGCCGTGAAAGCCACCTGGGTGATTTGGGGTCAATCACTAGGCGCTGGAGAGTTCTAGTCCCGCCTTACCAGGAAAGCCACCTGGGTGATTTGGGATCAGTCGCTAGGCGCTGGAGAGTTCTAGTCCCACCTTAGCCGTGAAAGCCACCTGGGTGATTTGGGATCAATCACTAGGCGCTGGAGAGTTCTAGTCCCGCCTTAGCCAGGAAAGCCACCTGGGTGATTTGGGATCAGTCGCTAGGCGCTGGAGAGTTCTAGTCCCACCTTAGCCATGAAAGCCACCTGGGTGATTTGGGATCAGTCGCTAGGCGCTGGAGAGTTCTAGTCCCACCTTAGCCATGAAAGCCACCTGGGTGATTTGGGATCAATCACTAGGCGCTGGAGAGTTCTAGTCCCACCTTAGCCGTGAAAGCCACCTGGGTGATTTGGGGTCAATCACTAGGCGCTGGAGAGTTCTAGTCCCGCCTTAGCCAGGAAAGCCACCTGGGTGATTTGGGGTCAATCACTAGGCGCTGGAGAGTTCTAGTCCCGCCTTAGCCATGAAAGCCACCTGGGTGATTTGGGGTCAATCACTAGGCGCTGGAGAGTTCTAGTCCCACCTTAGCCGTGAAAGCCACCTGGGTGATTTGGGATCAATCACTAGGCGCTGGAGAGTTCTAGTCCCACCTTAGCCGTGAAAGCCACCTGGGTGATTTGGGGTCAATCACTAGGCGCTGGAGAGTTCTAGTCCCGCCTTAGCCAGGAAAGCCACCTGGGTGATTTGGGATCAATCACTAGGGGCTGCAGAGTTCTAGTCCCACCTTAGCCGTGAAAGCCACCTGGGTGATTTGGGATCAGTCGCTAGGTGCTGGAGAGTTCTAGTCCCACCTTAGCCGTGAAAGCCACCTGGGTGATCTGGGATCAGTCGCTAGGCGCTGGAGAGTTCTAGTCCCACCTTAGCCGTGAAAGCCACCTGGGTGATTTGGGATCAATCACTAGGCGCTGGAGAGTTCTAGTCCCACCTTAGCCGTGAAAGCCACCTGGGTGATTTGGGGTCAATCACTAGGCGCTGGAGAGTTCTAGTCCCGCCTTAGCCAGGAAAGCCACCTGGGTGATTTGGGGTCAATCACTAGGCGCTGGAGAGTTCTAGTCCCGCCTTAGCCATGAAAGCCACCTGGGTGATTTGGGGTCAATCACTAGGCGCTGGAGAGTTCTAGTCCCACCTTAGCCGTGAAAGCCACCTGGGTGATTTGGGATCAATCACTAGGCGCTGGAGAGTTCTAGTCCCACCTTAGCCCTGAAAGCCACCTGGGTGATTTGGGGTCAATCACTAGGCGCTGGAGAGTTCTAGTCCCGCCTTAGCCAGGAAAGCCACCTGGGTGATTTGGGGTCAATCACTAGGCGCTGGAGAGTTCTAGTCCCGCCTTAGCCAGGAAAGCCACCTGGGTGATTTGGGATCAATCACTAGGCGCTACAGAGTTTTAGTCCTGCCTTAGCCATGAAAGCCACGTGGGTGATTTGGGATCAATCACTAGGCTCTGGAAAGTTCTAATCCCGCCTTAGCCATGAAAGCCCCCAGAGTGATTTGGGGTCAATCACTAGGCGCTGGAGAGTTCTAGTCCCGCCTTAGCCATGAAAGCCCCCAGAGTGATTTGGGGTCAATCACTAGGCGCTGGAGAGTTCTAGTCCCGCCTTAGCCATGAAAGCCCCCTGGGTGATTTGGGATCAATCACTAGGCGCTGCAGAGTTCTAGTCCCGCCTTAGCCATGAAAGCCACCTGGGTGATTTGGGGTCAATCACTAGGCGCTGGAAAGTTCTAATCCCGCTTTAGCCATGAAAGCCCCCTGGGTGATTTGGGGTCAATCACTAGGTGCTGGAGAGTTCTAATCCCGCCTTAGCCATGAAAGCCCCCTGGGTGATTTGGGATCAATCACTAGGCGTTGGAGAATTCTAGGCGCTGGAGACTTCTAGTCCCGCCTTAGCCATGAAATCACTAGGAGCTGGAGAGTGGGTAGGTGGCTAGCCAATCATTCTCAACCCAGCCCACCTCACAGGATTGTTGTTCTTGTTGTGAGGAGAACAGAAGGAGGAAGGTGTGTTGTATATATATTTGCTGCCTTGGGTTATTGGTAAAAATTATAACGGCAGGATACAGATAAATAAAATAAAAAGTGAACCCCGGATGGTACTGCAGTGGCAAGCAACTGAGAAATGGGCTAATGGCAAACTTAGGAAAGAGAAAACAATATTTTATAGGTGTGAACATACTCATTTCCAAGCTTAGCTCCTCAAAAAAACCTGTTTTGCAAGAACGAACAATTTAGGGAACAAAGAAGGAGAAAGTGAAGTACGAGGACACGAAGGGCGTTGCTCTTTATTGAAACTTGTCGGAGGGAAACTCATTCCTGGAACGTGCTGATGGAAGATGCAAACTCTACGAAAGGAACAGATCTAACAAAAACAGAGGTGGAGTTGAATTGTGTATAAAAGACCATTACAGTTCTGCAGAAATCTATAAAACCAAGGATGGAAACCTGTTAGAATCCATATGGGTCAATATAAAGGGGGGGGGAATGACATTGCTATAGGCCAGCGGTTCTCAACCTGTGGGTCGGGACCCCATTTGGGGTCGAACGACCATTTCACGGGGGTCGCCAAACAACGCAGTCCGCCATTTCCCCCCCCCCCTTTTCCTTAGCTGTGCTACTCCCTTTTATTCTATTGGCTTTGGAAAGCCAATAGAATAGACTCTCTTGAATAGAGTCTAATTCGATTGGCTTTCCAAAGCCAATAGGAATTGTCCAAGCTGTCTCTGCCCTGCTGAGCCCGCCAAAAGTCCCAGTCTGCAAACGGTACTGCACCAGTTGAGTAGTCCTCGACTTACGACCGGTTGAGTAGTCCTCGACTTATGACCGGTTGGGGGGTCGCGGCATTAAAAAGGTTGAGAACCACTGCTATAGGCCATGGGATAGGCAACCTTGGCTCGTTTATGACTCGTGGACTTCAACTCCCAGAATTGTGAGCCTCCCCCCACCAATTGCACAAGGCTGCTTTCCCTGCCCTCCATGGGGCACAGCGTGCTGCTTTCCCCCCCCCATGGTGCAATAGGGAGGTGGGAGGGTGAGGAACAATCTACAGCAGTGATAGCAAACCTTCCTGCTCCACGCCCTGCCCTGCCCACCCCCTGCCTCGCCCACGCTCTGCCCCACCCTGCCTGCCTGCAGGGCCACTCACCACCTCCAGGGCCTGCCGCAGATTGCCCAGGCAGCCCAGCAGTGCCATGGCGCCCACGCCCTCTGCCCACGCCCTGCAGGATCGACTGTGCGTGTTGGGGCGTGAGGGCAGAGTCTTGTCTACGCTGCCTGGCTGCCGTGTCCTTGGCTGCGCTGCTCCGCGTGGGCCACGACCAGGGACGAGTCTCCTCCAGGGGGGCTGCTGGTGAGGAGGGGGTCGCGGGTGGAGGCAGGGCTGGGGCAACGGCATGTGTGCCCACAGAGAGGGCTCCGAGTGCCGCCTCTGGCACCCGTGCCATAGGCTCGCCACAACTGATCTAGAAAATTGCGAGCTCGTCTCCCCCCTCCCCATCATCGCTTACCACCCTGGATGGATGGTTAGAAGGAAAAGAGCCCCCCTTCTCCCCCCCGCTCCCTGACTCCCCCCCCCGTTGGTATTCTTGCTTAGATTGGCACCTGTCTTTCACAGGCCCTCCCCATCCTTTCCCCCGCCCATTGCAACCGGGAGGAGACCCCAAATGCTTGCAGCACTAGAATGAGCTTGCCAGAGTGGCAAATAGATTAAGAATAATATATATATTAAGAATAGAATAAGAATAGAATAAACCCCTTTCAAAACGTCCGGCCAATGGGAAGGATAGCTAGGCTGGAAAAAAATGAAGCCAACTGAGCAACTTTTGAAATGCAGGAGCATGCCTTTGGTTATTCGGGTTTTCTCCCGCGTCAAATTGGAAGTGTCTTGGCGACGTTTCGACAAAGTCCCATTCGTCATCTTCAGGCTGGTGTTTTCGGCTTCGTGCTTCTAGGAACAATGTGTGATCGTAGCTGTTTCTTCCTTTTAACTGCCAGTGTGTGGTAACCCAGGTCGTTACAACACAAAAGACTAATGGGCACACAGCCAGGCTGCCCACAACCGGTGGGGATCCCGTAGAGTCTTTTTTT